GCCAAACTACTGAATGGTTTGAGCCTAAGATCATTTTGGGACCCACAATAATCAACCTGGCCCTTTTTTCTATTATAAGCGGTATTCTCTATTCTATTTGCCGTTTTTGCTTAAAATCAAGGTGGAAAACATCAAACACAAAGGGAGCCTTCTCTGGGCTGAGAATCCGTTTCAAGGAAAATTGCTCAGAGATGATTCCCACACCACCTGCTCAAGAATTAAAGAGAGCGGAGAGTTGGCTCCTGAAATTGAAACTGCCCATGCGTATAGGACATATCAGTGAATGTTCATTGAATTGCATTGTTTGCACAGGTATATCCATTCAGATTCCTAATGGATCATGTTAATTGATGTTATATTGCTACTTTGTTATGAGATAGTCATTAGAAAATGTTTGTTTCTCAAAATAACAACTGGTCCACTCCAATTGTTTTGATGTTATCTGATGTACGTGTGTTTGAATACGAGCATCCTAATAGACTAGTGGCCTATGGCCGCAATTGCGGCCTTCTACCCGTACATATACTTTTTTGTCACTGCTCATCAACTAGGAATGGTCTTAGCCTGGTTCCCGCTGCCAAACTTTGATATACGGTTCATGATGGAGCATATATGCACGAAAGATTTGCTGAAGCACAGCGTGTTACATCTGCCACTATGCGAAAATTACAACCAAAATTAATTCAACATGAATAAAGTAAATAACAATGGAAGGAAACAAGACACATGTGGGAACGAGGCGGAAAGTTCATATCATAATGTACAAAAATAATCCTGACGAACGGACTTGGCAAACAAAAGAAGTGCTTCTTTAAGGACCACATCGTCGGTAACGGTGCCAGCATCAGTTTCCCCCTGCTTTGGTCCATCGATAACCTGAATCTTCTACGAATACTCTGAGCAAACTCTCGAACAGGCAACGTACAAATGCCATGCATGGATACTGGCTCCGGAAGTAGTAATGCGACTTGATCAAATGTCTGTCCCTGAAGTTTGCTTATAGTCATACCGTAGGTAAGCTCAATAGGGAATTGACGTTGACAAAGAGGGAACGGTATGGTCACTTGGGTTGACGTGTCCAGTAAAACTCTAGGCAGCAAGTGAACGCAGCCATGAAGCCCACTCGTGATCACCTCAACTACTATGGGTGTTCCAATGAAATGGAGACTTTTGGTCCCCTCTCTTAGACTAAGAGTAACAGCCATTGCCCCTTTTTCATTTAAATTCCCCTAGTATTAAGACATTTGCAGTCGGGTCTCCCACGATCATAGGCGTGTCGTTCCCAATCATGCGATTCTGTACACGCATCAGGATATATCCAATTTTTAGGATTAGGGCGTGCGGGAAGAGACCCTAAATATTGAGATTGTTGGAGAATTCAAACGGAAAGGTGCCCTGCCGATCTGTGTTATCACCACCATGATCGTTCTTCACAATTTTGGTACTGTGCTGTGAGCACAATTCGCCTTCCAAACAGAAAGACACGTCCATATTGACCAAACTGGAGTGCTTATTCCTGGGACACAGAATGAGCGAGTTTGCTTCTCACTTCAGCATCGCAGAATCTATGTCGTTGCCCAAACAGCTCGTTCACCTTATCTGCAATATATTCGTCTGGTAAACCCACGATGAGCTCATATGGATCGCCCAGTAGACTTCACTGGATTTTTAGAAGCAGTAAGGAACATTACCAATAAAGTTAACAATTATTGCACCGAAAGGAAGCGGACGCGTTTGTGCTGTTGTACTGTCTATTAAACGCACAAAAATTGCAAGCGTTTTCATCTTTCCCATCAGTGGAAACTCCAGTGGGTTAAAATGGAACACCATACCATGATAATGACAACAACCATGCCGAAGTTTACCTTTCTCCGTTTCGAAATGAATTGCCAGGCAGTGCCCAATAGAGCTTTCAACATCCATAGGGTCGCGATTATGTGAAACGGCTGGAATGACGTTGAATGTCGCCACATCCCTTCCACATATTGTAAGGTGTTTAGCACACCCTAACCATCTTAGGTCCTGCACAGGCTTGTAAGCAAAATCAGGGAGGAACCACGAAACGCGCCTTGCCTATAACATGGAAAGGGAAAGTCTCCTAGGTTTATCAGGTACGAAGCCTATGATCCGGAAAAGGAAAGGCATGTAGGCCTAGAGGCTACTTAGCCTATGTCCGTGAAAGGGCAAAAGCTTTACGTTTTCTATGGCGGTCGGGAGATCGGAATCGGAGGTGATCTTGTATATGCAGCGCAGACGTTTGTAGATCAACTTTTCTTTTTGGGTCGTGTTTCCCTCCTTGCTCTCTTGCAAAGTGCTGAGGCCTCGCCCTGCTTCGTCGATCCGATTGTGGAGACGCTTATTCCAAGGTGGACACGAGGAAGAGCGCTTCTCAGGTCTCGGGGTTGGCTTTTCTGGTCGTTGCCATTTCTGGTGGATGGTAACGACAGCTGCGAAGGCACGGTGGTTTAGCTCAGAGAGCATTCTACAAGATCGTAAGAGCTAATGCTCCTGTTGATTTCCTTGATGTCTTTGTAGATGGCGCGGCTGAGCTTTAGTGGTCTTAGTCGAGGTCGATCAGACATCTGTATCGCATATCTTCTAGATGGTTGAGGAAGGTGGTTCTCAGTCCTTCGACTGACGTTTCTTCAGATATAGATATTTTCTCCTCTTTTTCGGGTACACTTGAATCTGATGTGGTAGGCTGGAGGGTGTTCAGAACTTCCTGTTTGATGTTTTCCCACTCCAGTTTCGAGAGCAGGTTATTTCTCTCTATCTGTAACGTATGCCAACCTATGATCTTCGCGCAACGCCCCGTGGAGTGTATCAGTGGAGAGTCAAGGCGGGGAGGAAGAGGAAGGAGTTGAACGTGAGACATCCGTTGACACGTGCAGATGCATGGTATGGAGATGAACCCAGTGTTTGGGGTCGGCCAACCCGTGGGAGGACTCATTACCGTTTAAATGCAGGATCTTCTATTGTCTCTATCTTCTCCAATGTGCCACCCAAACATTATACAAGGAGTCATAATATCATTATGTGAATGGGTACAAAGTCCCTCCAATCCAGCAAGATCTCAGTTAAAGATCCCTCACTCTGAGGTGACGGAAGAGCAGAAATTCGGGAACTCGATTAGTACCGATTTGACCGGGGTACTCGGGCCGTTTCGATCGTGGGTGCTCTAAGACTGGCCACCTTTTTCTCTCAACAACATACAGAGGAGAAACATTGTAGTTAGAGGATCTTTTTGAAGGTCGTGAGTTTTCCCCAGAATTTGTAAGACTTCTTATGGAAGTGAATACCAGTCCATTGTAATTGGAAAGTATTGTAAAAGGGGTTGGACCAGTTCTTTTTCTTGCATTGATTTTCAAGGGAGAACAGTGATCAGGATTTCGTATTCTGTCATTGGTTTTAAAATTTGGAGGGCGTTTGGAAAACGTCAGTTCTCATAATTTCTATTGTATTTTTTAACACCATTCTTTTTGGAAATATTTTTTTTTTGTTTTCTTGAATTACGTCCTAGTTACTCCTGCTCGAAATTTGAATTGGTCGGAACCTCTGGTTTCCTGAAAATGAATTTTTTGTAGTGGAAACGGTGCGCCTTGTTAAAGTAAAGGTTTTAATTTAGCTTAATATTTGACAGTTTTCATAAATCCAACCCGGTGCGCCCCGTGCCCGTTACAGATCACACGTCGTTGGTCAGCTATTCGCTGTTCGGTTTCATTCAGCTCTGGATAAGTTTGATTCCAGAGAGCGAGCATTTTCTTTAGGTACTCTCCTGTCGCATCGAATTGTGCGTGGTAGTTGTCCTGCATGACATCAATGTTCATGGACTTCGTCCATTTCATACGTTTCTTTACGGGGGGGTGTGCATATCAATCCCGCTACGTAGGCCTGGGGTAGTGATTTCACCGGTAGCCTTTACTCTTAATTCTACCTGGTGATGAACAGTTGTGTGAGAGTCTCTGGACGCTAATTTTTCACTGACTGCACCGGTAGACCTACAGCTAACGCAGCCCGTTTTATCCTGGGCGAAGGCCGAGCCAGTATCAATTCGCTTTCTGAATTGTGGCATCATGCAAGGATGAGGTTGAGAATCAGGCAGGAGAAGCACAGGTCCACAGCTGTCTTTCACACAGGTTGTACATGATGAGCCTCTGATCCATGGGGCACCACGGTCGTTGGACTGGACTAGTCGTAAAGGAATCTTGATCCAACATCGAAAGCGCGTACTGGAGCCGCGCCTTTTTGTTTGCCTCGGTCAGAAACGGTTTTAAAGGGCTCGTGTGTCGCTTGATCAGGCCCTTCTTGATCTGCACGCCGACCGTAGACTTCGGGTGATCGGATATTCTTGCGGTTTCGAAGCGGAACCCTTTTAACCGCGTCCAAGTCGAAGGGTTTTGGTTTCCAGTCAGAATTTCCCGCAATTTTCGACGAAACATCAGCAGCAACGGCTCCAGAAGCCAGGGACTAGCAGCCACGCGCCCAAATCCGGCTGATTGTACGCGTCGAAACTGAGAAACGGATCGAGGCTTCCTTTATCGACCCATACTTCAGGTTTCCATCGTTGCTACGCGACAAAAGAAAGTCGTATATCGCAAGCAGCCACGCGCCCAAATCCGGCTGATTGTACGCGTCGAAACTGAGAAACGGATCGAGGCTTCCTTTATCGACCCATACTTCAGGTTTCCATCGTTGCTACGCGACAAAAGAAAGTCGTATATCGCGCGCCGCTGGTCGTTGGTAAGGTTTTTTTTGGTCGCCAGGGATTCGGACTCCATGAGGTTTTCTGTTGGTTGCTGCGGTTGATCAATCGAGGGCACGGGCAACACGAAACTGAGAAACGGATCGAGGCTTCCTTTATCGACCCATACTTCAGGTTTCCATCGTTGCTACGCGACAAAAGAAAGTCGTATATCGCGCGCCGCTGGTCGTTGGTAAGGTTTTTTTTGATCGCCAGGGATTCGGACTCCATGAGGTTTTCTGTTGGTTGCTGCGGTTGATCAATCGAGGGCACGGGCAACGGGGATGTAATGTGCAGTAGTGACTCTCCTCCACAAGGTGCTGAAGCGAGAATTTCCATTGATGTCATTTTGGACTAATCGGTGTGGTTCAAAAACTCTTAAAAATAAGAATTTTTCGACTCCCAAAACTGCACCTTAAAAGGAGTCCAAATGCTCATGTCTTTATGCGCTATAGAGGACACCGAAGACTATTTTGTTACACAAGCAGAATTTATTAATGCCCCAAGCCAGCCTTAATTTTTAAGAAAAAGTGAAACAGGACAATCATTTCTGGACAGAGGGAGTAGTACTTATGAGCGTAGTTATCTTTCGGCTAGGAAATTGAAGGCCCCGCCCTAACTCGGTCCACAAGACCGTGCACACATGACCACCGCAATCAATATCTCATTCCTAATGCATAATAGGGTTCTCCCAAGATTGATTTATGTCCATGACGTTCTCCCATGACATTTACATCTCATATTTCCTTTATTCTCTAGTTTGCATTGCGATTTACCTGTATTTTTGCACGCACAACGGCTCATTTTCGATAGTATCGGCATTGCAGCCGAACGGGCAGACATTTCTTGCCAAAAATGAGTAATTTATTAAAGGGAAAGACGAAGTCACTGAGAGAGCTCCTCTTCTAGTACACGAGATCTGCTCAGAACTGATGACTCTGGTCGAGATGTCCCAGGTGATTCATACATTTCTTTATTCAATTTTTAAGCAGTCGTTCTTTTTCTCTAGAATGAATTCCTTAACATAAATATAGGAATAAATTATTTAAAAGTATATTTTACAAATAAGCATCATAACTGCTGTATATGTATGTAGAGCATATTTAGAAAATAAAGTTACACTTTTTTAAAAAGTGTTAATTTTCCCTATGTATGGAGACTTTTGGATCACCCTGTAGACAACTCATGCACCTAACAGAAGAATTGCCATGTCTATGTCTAATTACAAAGTGCCATGTCTTAGAAATTGCAGAAAAATGAAGAAACTTTTGAATGGCTTCTTCTAAGTAACTCACCACGAACCCAGACCCAAGTGCCTTCCTTCACCTGATCACTTGCCCCCAACCAGGCATGACCATACCCTGACCCGAACGTGGTTTTCGAGAAATTGTAAACGAAGTCGTGCCAGGCCTGTCCTTTGTCGTCCATGATCAGATCGGCGCCATCAGCCGTGCAGTCGCTCCTAGATGCGTTGTAGTTCATCTGTTGACTGCGAGACTTCAAAAAGTGGAGCTTGTCTGTCAGCATTGCGAACTCGTAGCCCTGTGGGACCAGGGAATCTGTAAAGAGAGTATCGTCGATCGGCATCAAGAAATATTCACGACTTTCTTTTGGAATTCGTGAAACTTGCTGAAGAAACGGTATCGATGCCTAACGCATTATGCAGATGAGCGCCTCGTGAAGCCCATGTCGCAGCCGTGCCTCGTGAGAACTCCTCTGTTCGAAGAGGAAAGTGAGAATCCTCTATAGCGAACGCGGAAGGAGAGCGTATCGCGGGGACGCTCAATCTTGCATGAAACATGGTGGAGGCAGCAGCTCTCTGCCATCCCCTGCATCGATGCTCAAGGATTCAACAACAGTGACTATTACACATGCTGTCGGAACCCATGAGAAATTCAGAAATTCCTGTTCCCGGCATTGTAATTTGCATTTCTATCCCAAAATTGAATTTGACGTTTTCAAGAGAAAATATTCTTCGGTACGACATGGAGACACGAGAAGGATGTCTGCCATACTCGCCTTCACGATACGAAGGACTTCACAGAGAGAAAAATGCCGAGAATCTCTCCGAAGAATCTCTGCCGGGTCGTTTTGGCGAAAATCACTAAGTACTACAGTTTATCGACTGGAAAGTATCTTACAATACGCCGAGAAACACAAAACCATCTTGTGCTCCTGGACGGTAATTGGTTTTCCTTCGAAATAAATGAAAATAGTCACTCCACTTGAGAAAGTGTGAACACCGTTATATTGCCCATTCAGAGCAAGTCTTTCTTGCCGATCCATAATGTTCGTACGATGAGCAAATTCTGAACTACTCACTCCGATGAACCATAATGTAATTGAAAAAGCCTGCTAAAATTTGCATAACGTCTTAAAAAAAAAAGTTGCCACGTATTTTCGTGTCCTCCACGCGAAAGGCCAAATCGTTATTCATCTTTCCGATAGGCGAACGAACATATGGTCAGAGCTTTTACTTTCCCATCGGCAGATCCGGGAATCAGATTATCGCATCATCGTGCATCGTCTTGCGACTCGTGCACTCTTCCTAGCATGAATCGAGATATGAATTATGCAATGCGCTTTCGGACATGCAAACGGACGTGGTCGCGCGGGAGGCCTTCCGCCATTCTCGTGTACACACTCCATTGTATTTCATGACCTTGATTGCCGGATACTAAGTTAAGTCGTGCCTTGTTTCTCTGGATTCAACGTTTCGACTTCGACGTCGTCCTTGAATTTTTCAGTAGAAAAGGCAAGGCATTGTTCGGGGCTTCGAGTGGACTGAAGCCGCATTCACATCTCAATCTCGAACAGGATCTCGAAAAAAAATATTTATCGAGCGCAAATAATGTCCACGTCACGAAAAAGCAGGAAATTCATGAAAGACCCGAGATAACAGCAGAAGGGATGGGAGTTGTTATAGGTGGCTTGCGCTCATGAAGGTTGGAGTTTCATGTCTCAATATACACGTGCATGGTGCAATTAGAGTGATATTTTAACATAGAATCTAATACGTGACATGTTTGTAGCAAGTTGTCAGGGTCTAACTGATTAACCGTCACGGTCGGAAATTCTGCTTCGGTTTTTCAGGAGAGCACAGTTTTTAATTTTTTGCGAAAAATTAAATATGGGAGCTGTGATATGAGGTCCCTTACGGAAAAATCACCCCAAACTCAACCACCTACCAATCCGATGAAATATGGGTGTGACATAGGGTGTAATGGGATGTGAGATGTTCAATCACATGGTAGAACATGTGACACAGCATGTGATCGAGGGTAAATTTTCCCCTAGGACGTAGAACTTCCCTGCGCGCATGCGCATTCAATGTAACTGAGTATAAAACACCGGGGCGGGGATGTGCAAATTCATATCAGTTTTTCTTGACTGTTGTGATACGGCACTCGTGGTAGAATGAGCAATTCCTGTTGCGATCGATAAACTCGGGAGAATTATTTGCGAGAAAAATCTTTCGCGGAAAAAAAAAAATTTCCCTTCGCGCACACCTTCGACATTCATCCTGCACACCCTTGACACACTTGCCATTCATCCTGCACACCCTTGACACACTTGCCATTCATCCTGCTCACCCTTGACGTAGACGTTGAAAGAATCCCCGGCGACAGGTTGGAAGCTAGAAGCGGCACCTCCCAGTTGGCAGATGTTTCCCCCGTCTCCTCCTTCTTGAGTCTCCGTCACGAACACCGTACAAGCCGTATCCCTAGAATGACGGCGTGAGTCGCTTCGATCGAGGAAGTCGAGAACGATCCCGATCGTTCGGACCGAAAGCGATTCGTGCCACCGACGGCAGGGATTGTCAACCTTTCCTCCTGGTCCAGCTTAATTAAGCTTTAGAGGCCGAAAAAGTCCGGTCCGAACTTCCCCAGGAATTCCAGAATTTCTCTTTTATTTTCAGTCGCAAAGCCAGCTCACGTGACCTCGTGGGTTCGATTCGAGGTCAGAGAATTTCCATTGATGTAATTTTGGACTAATCGGTGTGGTTCAAAAACTCTTACAAATAAGAATTTTTCGGCTCCCAAAACTGCACCTTAAAAGGAGTCCAAATGCTCAAATCTATATGAGCTATAGAGGACACCGAAGACTATTTTGTTACATAAGCAGAATTTATTAATGCCCCAAGCCAGCCTTAATTTTCAAGAAAAAGTGAAACAGGACAATCATTTCTGGACAGAGGGAGTAGAAAATTACTCATTCATCGCGCATCATGGTGACGTATGTTGGTGGAGAAAATCCTTACCAGGAAGAAATTATTACCGTTTCTGCATGTTCACAGGAGAAATAAAGTACCCTGAATGCCTCCTCACGGAGAAGGGAAGAGAGTATATCGGAACGATGAATAAGACAGAATCTGGAAGGGACTGTCTGAGGTGGGACGCCATGCCATATGGAGTTCCAGAGGATTTTAACACAAATCTGGAGATGCCAAAAACCCTAAGATGGGTGCCGACTCTGAGGATGGCTGCGTGGATCCTAGAGATCAAGACAAGAAAGAACATGAATTATGAAGTAAATTTTCTCGGCATGGACGCCTGGTCTCAAATGAACTACTGCCGGAACCCATCTGGACGAGAAAAACCTTGGTGCTTTATTGATGACCCAAAAAAGGAATGGGAGTATTGCAACATTACTCGGTGCCCGGATCCAGGTCATTCATTTCCAAAGTTTTCAGTGCTACCTGATATCGATCCCTTCCACTACCGCCAAAATCAGATGCTTTTCATGTAGCCAAGTTTTATGGCAGCGGTGCGCAAAATGCTGGGCGCAAAAAAAATTAAAGAAAAAATTAAGAAAATATGTAGGAAAATCTATATAAGGTGTAAATTATTTTAAATCTCAGATTCAAGGTTACGAGAACAGTCATAATTCGTGTTTTGCGGGGATACGATTCTAATAAAATATGACTGATTCCTACTCGCAATGTTGCGGCTAAATTACGTATTGATTTATTAAAGTTTAACTTATCCTAAAACCACTAAATATAATTAGGAGGAAGTGAGAAGGCCTATGCATATACTAATAACTATATAGTTGGGCTGTCAACGATAGGTCGATTCATCTATAGTTTTTATGATGGATGATACTTTCTTAGACTATCGTGATGTACCTGCAACATTTATTAAGGGGAAATGTCCCCTTGGATTGAGTCGAGTACAGCACAATACAGTCCATCCGCGCGGGGAAGGGAAGAGGCGGCATTACTCGCAGGGACATCTAAATTCTAAATAAAGAGACGGGAAAGAAAAAAAAAAAGTTGGAATAGGAGACCAGAAGTGAGAATGGGGAGACAGGGAACTCCGAGAATATTTTTTTCTCTGCTGTTTCATTGTAGTTCACCCGAGTGGATTTGGCTGGGAATGGAAGTACCCCATTACGAAATTGAAGAAAGGGAGTAGACTCTCTTACTTTTCGAAACGTATATAAGTTAATCCGCCTGTTTATATTCTTATATACAGTAATTCGTCCGGAGATGAAAGAATATTTATGATTCAACTGCAGGTAAACCAAAAATTTTATTTTTTGTTACATACTTTTTTCTTTCTTTTGTAATATTGCATTATTCTCAGTTAAAGAGTTTTTTTATAATGTTAACGTTATACTACAGGGTGCCCAATAGAAAACCAAAGGATTTATTTTTTTATGAAGGATTTATTCAAGATTATTCACAAAGGATTTACAAATAAATAAAACGTTGAAAAATGAATCTGAAATAGAAATATACGTTTTATTATTTACATTCGTTTATGAAAACAACAAATCGCAATTAAGCAGCATAAATATACAGGGTGGGCCAAAAGTTTTTGCCCCTGTATAAAAATGTGAATATCTC